TGGAGGTCAAAACAATGAGAAGGGAAATAATGATTAGAGGAGTGTTGTGTGAACACAGGGGGAAAGTCTTTCCGTTTCATGCTTTCTAAATTATTCCCCCGTTTCCTGCCAACTCTTCAGGCACCTCATTATGAAACCCAGCAGGGAGGTCTATTCCTAACCTGCTTCTGCACACGTCATGCTAAAAAAAAACCTTCCCAGAGGAAGGGAACGAGGTATATGGAAAGAAAGTAGCTCTGCTAGTTCACAAGGTGGTAACGACACAGTATATTCACATCAAACTATTTGAAGGGAACATAAAAAAACTGCAGGTGTGTGGAGAAAAGATTAAGTGTGTCTGTAAAACACTTAAAGAGGCCCTATTATGGTTGTTGGGGTTTTGCCGTTCCTGTAGTGTGTTATTTAGGTGTTTGTGCATGTACAGGACATTGCCGTAATTTATTTAAGTTATAAAATGTTTCTAATATAAAACTAATTTCACTTTAAAATACATAATTTAGACGGTCAGACTTTGGAAATAAAATATCAAGAATAAATGAATAAATTCTCAAAGTAATATGGAAGACGATGAGGGCCACTACTTTTTTTGTGCATCTGACCAAAGTGATTTTTGAAATTAAAGTAAGAATTCTGAGAAAAAAGTCAAAATTCTAAGAAAAAATAAATCTGACTTTTTCTGACTTTTTTCTAAGAATTCTGACTTTAATTTCATAACAAAAAAAAGCCTGGCCCTAATTCCTCTTCTGTAAACTATAATTTGTAATCCAGACAACCTATATCATTTTCATGGGGGTTTTAATAGCAAGCCCTGTAAATAAAAATAAAAATACATTAATTAAATGAAGACGAGTCCTGCGTAAATATTTTAATGTCAGTTTTATAATGTGAAAGGGAAATAAAAACAACCTAACATTATTTTTAAATGTGTTGCATGATAGGGGTGGTGTGTATAAAAGGTTGCTTTAAGTTCATCTGACTTTGCCCTGCGGGAAAGGAAAAGGTAGGGGTCTTATCTGCACATTTATAGATGTAACCATTCCCTCTTCCATTTTTTCTTATCTCAGAGTTTCCCCTCTCTCTCTTCCCTCTCCGGCTGCAGAGCCTGCGGTGGGAGGTGTGATATGCCTGCAGCCAGGAGGCGAGTCACAACATCCTCCCTCTGCAGATCACACACACCGACACACACAGACACACACACACACCACACAGCACAACACAACACACACACACACAACATCACAGCACACACACACACACACACACCACACAACCACACACACACAACACACACAGCACACACACACACACACACACACACACACACACAACACACCACACACACACACACACACACACAGCACATCAGTCATAAAGTCTTTTAGTGTGTGGGGCGAGAGGCCATCTATCCACCATTAGCAATACCTCACCACCAGTAAAAGCAGCAGAGGATTATTGGCTGCATTGAATTTCAATATTTCTGCCTAGCAACAGATAATTGCCATATCATCTGATTTAAATCAAGATAATAAGGTGTGTGTGTTTTTGGCAGTCCATATTTTACTCTGTTCATGTGCCATCTTTTTAGGCTTTTTAAAGCATAACACATGTCACAGTAGAGAACAAAATACAAGCCAATGAGACAGTGTATGTCCTCTTGCAGTATCATAAGTAATATCAGTATGCAGAATGGCGGGCATTTTTTTTTTTTTAACTTGCAGTTTGTTGCAAAGTGTAATAATCAGTGATAGAGAGTGAGTGTAGCTGGGCAATCTTACCATGGCAAGGCATATACAATTGTTTTATTAAAACGTAACATCGGGATGTATAAAGTGATGGTGGAGTACAAAACGTACAATAATTGCCTCTGTGAAAATGTGTAGAAGTATAAAGTAGCATAAAATGGAGAACTTAAGTCAATTTGGACCAAAAACAATACTCAATATCCTACTAAGTACTTTGTTACCTCCACCCACTGAATCTCTCCTGCTGTCTCATCCCAATATTCTGGGGCTCTGTAGGGATCAGAAGTGAGTGTAAACGCTGATCCAGGTTCCCGTGCAGCGCTGCCATGCATAATTCCACCGTGTTCAGGGCCGGGGCTCTTCAACCACACACACACACCACACACACACACACACCACACACACACACCACACACGACACACAGCACCACACACACACACACACACAACAACACACCACCCAACACACACACACACACAACACACACCACACACACACACACACACACACACACAACAAACACACCCACACACACACACACACACACAACACACACAACACACACACAGGTGGCGCGATACGCTGGGCTGCCCTTGATATCTCTTCTGGGTTGTCACAATATTCTTGGTGCTGAACCATTCTAACTTCCCACTGCTCCAAACCCCAAACTCACCTCCTGAAGCAGAGCATGCACTCAAATCAGTGAACTGCACAGCGCCATCTGTTGCTCAAAACAGCCGCATCAAAGGGACGTGTTTCGTGGACTTGTTTTAGAGGGTTGGAGTTCATTTTGGCCACGGCAAGTTGTTTTACCGCTTCCTATGCCTCAGTGTATGCCTTCGGTTCTCCATGTGAATCTTGGGATTTACTGCAGAAAATAATCTCTGTGGCAAAGAACATTTGTGATACTTACACGTTTTGTTCAGCAGGAATAATCTCCCAGTACATTAACACCTTTATGATTTTTAAGTAAAAAGCTAATAAAGGAACTTGACTTCGCGTCATCACCCGCTAAGCTAAAGACGGACTAATGTTGGACCTGGTGATGTTTAGTTCGTCTCATTTAGACACCTTGTTAAGCAACCGCCAGTATTTTACTTGAGGGTATTTTATGCTGTAGAACAAAATCTCTCGCAGTTTGTCTAACCACAGACTTATTTCAGCGATAACAACCAGCAGAAACATGTTCGGGAAAACTCATTGACCTCCAGACCAGGGGACAGGAAGTGGTCAAAGCAATTCATTTTGGGTTTATTTTATGTTAACAGTGCGTGACTTGGAGGTAAGAAAGAGCTACAACATTACATTTCTTGTCTCGACCTCCTGGCTAACATCGGGCGTGCTGTAGATGCTCCTAAAAAAGTTATCGCCCGTTTCATTAATTAAATCCAGTTAAGATAATACAAGTACTTCCATTGTTCCTTCCACTTGTATTGGCGAACTAGTTATGTCGTTTCTACAAAAGGAGCTTTCTCTTTAATCAATGTTCTTCACTTACTCATCGAGCTGTGGGAGGGTCAGGTTTTATTGTATTGGATCACCAGTCACTCTTTCAGCTGGTGCGCGGCGACCCTTATCCTTTCAACATTTTTTACAGGTCAAATATTGGTTTACATTACCTTAGTTAAGAGTATTTCAGAAGTAGTATCTTTGTTACAAGTAAAGACCTGCACTCCAAATTCTAACTTAATCCTCAAAATGAATCGTAGCAACCAAACAAGAAGGGTCACGAACAGCTTGAATGCAGTTAAAAATAAATGAAGGTTGATATTCTTTTTCTAATGAGGTGTCTGGCACTGAACGTTTCCTGCTTAACTAAATTGAAACAAGCTATTAAATTTACTTACATGGCCTAGTTAAATACTTGATTTTGATTGATCAATTTGGAAATTGCAAGGTCTGCTATGTTTCGCTAGCAGACCGTTGCTAAGGAGAACAGAACGTTGCTAAGGAGGAATCTCTGATTAATGGACATCTGGAGTCATATCAATCCGCAGGAGGAAGTCCGGTCGGTTTAACGTCTGTTGTGGATAACAAACATTAGTTTTTATCCATCAGGAAACACCATGGAATATTTTTTGAATACTTATTTTTATATTTTTAGAGAGCACTAAACTTTGGATTCATGGTGGCTAAATCACTCAATCACTCAATCAATCAATCAATCAATCGATCTGTCATTTTAAGTTACGTTGATTCTGATTGATCAATTTGGACATTCCAAGGTCTGCTATGTTTCGCTAGCAGACCGTTGCTAAGGAGAACAGAACGTTGCTAAGGAGGAATCTCTCATTAATGGACATCTGCTTAACTAAATTGAACAATCGTATTAAATATGACAGTGCGTTAAACCATTAAGAATACAAATATTTGGAACCATTGAATTACATTAGATCAAAATTGGGTTCGTAACCAAAGTTGATTTGATAGAAAACACATGCCGGGTTTCTGCATGATTCCTTGTAATTAAAAGGTAAATATTGGGCGGTTGTATTTAAATCCTGACAACAAGAATCAATGAGTTTTCTGAAGTGGAGAAAAAAGGTTTGTGTTGAATACGAATAAGAGTCAGATGTGTGCAAACATGACTAAGGACTTTATTAACCAAATCATTTCCCCCGTAATATCCACAAATAAAAGTGATCTCTTTATATATATTCACATTGTATAATTTCATAGTGTGACAAAAAAATTCTCTTTTTTTTTCATTTTTTTTTTGGATTTCCAGCCATTCCTATTAATTGTCATTTGTTCAGTCGCCATGCAGTCGTCGGAAAGGTTGAAAAACATTACGCTTGGTCAGCATTGGCGCTCGTCTCCTCTGTCGGCTCCTCGTGGTGCTAAAAACCGCCAAATCACAGATTCCATCACACTGCGACAATAAAATAAAAAATAAATTAAGAAAGCAACGATCTCTTGCAGAGTCCTCCTCCTCCCTCTCCCTTCTTCTTGTTTTTTTAAAAGATATTTTATTTTTGTTAATATAATAATAATGACTATAATTGTCCTTGATAAAAATTCATAGGTAATTTTTTCTCTTTCTCAAATTTTAAATAAATCATTTTGGCAATTCTCACATGTTGTCACTTTCGAATAAAATAATACTCGAGTAGAAAATAAAAGCTGTGAGAGAAAACTGATCAGGAGAGGAGCGAAGGAGCGAGAAATGAAAAGCAACAGAGAAGAGCGAGAGAGGAAGGAAAGAAAAGAGTGAAAGAAAGAAAAGCATCCACTTCAGACGCATGTCGGAAACGGCTCTATGTACAACATGTGCTGTAGCGGTAAACTGTCTCCCTGTGTCTCTGTCTCCGTGTGCAGCAGTCCGTGTGGCCCAGTGTTATACCAGAGTGTAGGACTTGGCGTAGGGGTTGTTGCTCTGTTTCAGGTGTCCTCTGGAGTCCAGCAGGGACTCCTGGGAGGTGCTGAGCTTGGCAGCCTGTGCTTGGGCCAGGTCCCCCGAGGAGGGAGCGTCCGCCCGGACCTCCCCCCGTGCCTCCCCCCTCTCCCGGGCATCCCTGTGGGGGAGGGTGGAGGCGGTTCCTGGCTGCCACTGCTGCACCTCCCTGGGTGACGGCACTTCCATGGGGGTGGGCTCCATGGGCGGGGGCCTCTTCAGGGTGCGGCTCCTCTGAGGCTCCAGGCAGGTCTGGCCCATGGCTCCTCCTCCCACTCCTCTCGTCTCCCCCGATGCACCACTTCCTCCTCCTGCCCTCCCTCGCTTCCTCCTCCCTCCCCCTCCTCTGCCTGCTCCTGCCTCCTCCTGCTCCTATGCTGCTGCCGCTGCTGCAGCTGACGCCTCCACCTCGAGGCGGCACGCCCCGGTTCAACAGGAAGTCCATACGGAGGTAAGGAGGCAGGTGGACCAGCTCTCCTGCTGCAGGACACAAAACAGGAGACAAAAGTGTTAAAGGGGCGCTATCCTGCTTTTTGGGGTTATCCCTTTCCTGTAGTGTTCTAGAGGTTTGTCGATGGTCTGTAAAGGCTAACATCCCTGTGTTCCCCCCCCCAGCCTGAAGCGCCTCCATTGGACTCCTTTGTTTACTTCCGGAACATAGTGACATCACTATATAACAGTTGCGATTCTACTGGCTAGCGCTTCAACACATTGTAAGTGATAGGCTAAGGGGCGGGACATCTATAAGTGGTTGACCAATCACAAGAGAGCTAACCAATCAGAGCAGACTGGGCTCTGGTTTCAGACAGAGGGGGAAAAGATGCAGCAAAGGCAGTATGAGAAAAAGAAAGAGCTTTGTGAACATTAAAGCACGGAAACTGTGGAGGCACAAAAGTCTTTCAGCGAAAATGAACAGACCTCTGAATAATCTAAAATATGAAATGTCCTATTTGCACAATTTAGCAAAAAAAGAAAAAACAAAGAAGCCTTGATACATTATTTAAAAAGTTTTGAAATAGGATTTTAAGACTTATCCAATAAAGTGTGACTGCAAACAAAATATTGCCACTACAGTCTGCTGCTGTGTGATAATGGGGTCAGTTTGGACCCCTGATGGTTTTCACCACTCGCCTCCACACACTCCCCGCTGTGTAAGAACGTGCTCCTAACAGCTCAGAGTTTCTCCACACACTCCATTTTATATTCCAGGGTTTAAATTAGCGGCATATATGGTTGAAAATCCACCTTTACCTCACACTGTAACGTTTGCTCACCTCAGGGCTTTATGCGATTATGATTCACTTAACTGTTATCTGAATGTAATACCAATATCAATATCCCACCAAGTGTGAATCTATTTGACTTAAAAGGAAACGTGCAGAACATAATGTAATAGGGATCTGAATATCACATCATTCACACATTCATTTTCTGGGAATGATACAATGATTAAGTTAGTGCGTTTTCTCACGGTGAAGAAGCAGAATGATGTCTATAAATCCTAAAAAGACATCTTGCACGAATTGTTATCAAATCCTTTCTGTGCAGCTTGTTTGAGGGGAACAGCAGGAGATGAAGACATGGAGTCTTATCAGGAAACCTGTAGGTCAGATTTAATATCCTAACTAGGTGATAAAACTCGATTATAGACGGTCTCGTCAATCTTTAAGTAATTATCTGAATTGTTGGATCAGAGGTAGTTAAAACTAGACGCTTTGATTCTGTTCAGTGACTTTATGGTTTCTACTGCTATTGGATCTATTTCACTGATGGGAAATGCTGGTGTTAAAGACTCTCTTAAAGTGTAATTATAACTAATCCTAAAGTAATGAAATGTTTTGATGATGACAAATCCCATTGGAGGGGTTTTACAACATCACTCAGACACAGTTCTCTGCTGAGTTGATAGTATTTGAGTTATATCATTATTTATAACATGGCCTAGTTAAATACTTGATTCTGATTGATCAATTTGGAAATTCCAAGATCTGCTATTTTTCGCTAGCACACCGTTGCTAAGGCTTCATCTCGCCATCACTACTGTAGATGCTTCTAAAAAATGTAATCGAGTTTCATTAATTAAATCAAGTTAAATAATACAGTACTTCCTTGTTTCCTTCACTTGTATTGCAAACTAGTTATGTCTGTTTCTACAAAAGGAGCTTTCTCTTTAATCAATGTTTCTTCACTACTTCATCGAGCTGTGGGAGGTCAGGTTTTAATTGTATTGGATCACCAGTCACCCTTTCAGCGGTCTGACCCTTTGACCCCTATCCTTTCAAACATGTTTTTACAGGTCAAATATTGTGTTTACATTACCTTAGTTAAGATATTCTCAGAAGTAGTATCTTTGTTACAAGTAAAAGACCTGCACTCCAAATTCTAACTTAATCCTCAAAATGAATCGTAGCAACCAAACAAGAGGTCACGACAACAGCTTGAATGCAGTTAAAAATAAATGACGGTTGATATTCTTTTTTCTAAGTGGGTTTCTGTTACTGAAACGTTTTCCCTGCTTAACTAAATTGAACAAGCGTATTAAATATTACTTACATGACCTAGTTAAATACTTGATTCTGATTGATCAATTTGGAAATTCCAAGGTCTGCTATGTTTCGCTAGCAGACCGTTGCTAAGGAGAACAGAACGTTGCTAAGGAGGAATATCTGATTAATGGACATCTGCAGACATATCAATCTGCAGTTAGAAGTCTGGTCAATTTAACCTCCGCTGTGGATAACAAACATTAGTTTTTATCCATCAGGAAACACCATGGAATATTTTTTTAATACTTATCTGTATATTTTTTTTACTAAACTTTGGATTCATGGTGGCTAAATCAATTAATCAATCAATCGATCTGTCATTTTAAGTTACGTTGCTGTCGCCGCGGTTCCAGCTGTTGGCGGGAAGCAATATGATATCATTTTTAAATCAATAAAATATCTAAAAACCAATATTGACAAGTGAAGTCGCTGGTTTATTTAGTATTCAGCTGTTTGATATTATTACTGCAAATGGAACACCGACAGGGTGAGTTCTTCTCCTGCACACTAGATCAACAAGTGTTTACAGGCCAACATGCTATCATTTAAAAATCCATTTTCAGCAGGTGTTGTCTCAACCACAGGTGCCAAAGCTTTCAAATGCAGTCGATGTAAATACATACTGTATGAACGTGCACACTCTGAGCGTTAATGGCAGCCCTGACGTGCAACATGTGACCTTGGAGAATGGATTTCTGGGATCAGGAGGAGAATGAATAATTCACTGTGTTTTATAATAAGCCCTATTAGTGCCAGCGAAGATGATGAATGGCTCAGGGTGTTAATTGAATTAAATATAGATTTAAGTGTTTCTGTAGGAGCTCATTAGAAATGTAGTTTGGAAATTCATCAGCCAGTAAATTGCAGATTGCAGTTAATGGGACAGACAGTATGTGTAACAGGAATGCAACATTTCGCCAAGCCATTAATCTGTTTAAGTGTCCGTTGCATCTTCAGCTGTAGTGATGTTTGATTGTTTTCATATTTCTATACTGTGTGCTTCATTAGTAATCAAACATTCTCCTGATGTTTGAATCTATCTGACAAGCTAACTGTAGCTCTGTAATAACCAGCACAAGTTGAAGAGCTGACATACAAGCTGTAATGGGATCCAATAGATTTGTTTCTATTAAGACCCGAAGAGGAATTAATAAATAAACGGTTACTCTCATAGCAGGTTTGTCAGGTGAGGCTGGTCACATGAAACGAGAAGACAGGGACGGCGATAATCGAGAAGCTGCCGGTGACCTCTCTGATGGAGGTGAGGTTGTCAGGTGTAACTGAGACAGAGACGGGGTTGAAGCCGGGTCATGAACCTCCAGCAAGTCAAACTTCCATACACTGTGTTACAGATATGTATGCTGTGCTCTGTAGTTTAATGGACTACAAGCCGGTGGAAGAACAATCTAGTTATCATTTTTATTAAGACACTTAGTCACTTTTACATTTTAAGACACATTATTTTGTATGTATTGTGTGTGAACTGTATGTTGTGCTTTTTTCCTTTTATCCATTTCACTGTGATCTTTTTAAAATGTATGATTATGTAATATGAAAAGTATCAAAAAGTTGATAACCGCACTTTTTCCCTTTTATTTAGTTTTCAGATATCGTTTTAATATCAATTGTAATATGTCTGTTAAAAATAATAAAATGAATGCTGGCTGATTAAGCTGTTTCTTTTGTTGATGTGCGAACAACAGTTAATTATTAATTGGCCAGGTCCTTATTAGGAAATATGTTGTGGATATATAATCCATGATTTTGAAATAAGGTGTAATAATGGCGTACTTTTAACTTTATTTTTGTCATTTAGAGTTAAAATAGAGGAAATAGTTAACAAGAAATTAACCGCCAACCTTTTCATATGCAAATTCGTACAATGACGATGAATATTGGTAAAAGCAGCTACTTATAGTACAAAGGCTTATTATGTTTTAAGCCCTTTGAGATCCTGTGATTAAATGAGAACTTGTAAATCCAGCAGTCCCTTATTGTAACTGGGTACTTAAACATTATCAGAGTTGCTGCAGGCCTCTTAGAAAAACACATTCCCATAATTTTACACTTCATTGACTGTGGAGTCTGTGGAGTCAGCTGAACACGTTTCACAGAGCTAAGAAAGCTTAAACTGCTGGCTGTGTGCGAGCAGCCGGACGGCTTAAAAAAACACATCAACAATGTTTTTGATAAATACTTTCACTGTCAGGAAGCTGGACACAGGTCTGCACTTCAAGTTTATATAATATTTCTAATTTAAGTTTTGAGAGACACCAATTTGGTCATAGATAGCTAGATATAATTAATAGAAATAGCTAAAATCGCTATCTAGCTTTTTAGATAGGTAGATAATGAAAGCAAGCTAACTAGATAGATATATAGAGAATGTTATCTAGGTAGCTTGTTTATTAGAAACCTTACGTTAGCTAGTTAGTTTGATAGATAGCTTATGTTTGCTAGCCAGCTTGTTAGTTATAGCTAACATTCGCTAGTTAGCTAACATTCGCTAGTTTCATAGCTAAAAAGCATGGTCACAGGTTAATTGAATTCGGTCTCTAGGTCAACTAATTTGAATAAATGTCAACACTGTGGACCTTGTCTACCCTACTGGCAGTGAGAGTTATTATAAAACTGTTGACATGAGCTACAGTAGGGAATCTGACCTTGTTGTTTACAATGCTGCTAATGCTAAACCGGAAAAACTGACACTTATTCGATTGAAGAAGGGATTGGGAAAAGGTGCGAGGCTACATAAGGTGAATAAGAGTGCATTTCTTTGCGACACATTTCTACTCGACGAGCAAGCAGGAAACTATAGAAGCACAGCTTAATTATTCTGCCTATAACATTTCCCCCCCAAAAGTAACTGATAGCAGAGTCTAGCACTCAGCAACACCACCCCAGCCTAACAGTGTGTCATTACACTGAACTCCACTGTGGCGGTTAAGTGTTTTTTTGTACCGAGTGACAATAGCTGCAGATAAGATTGACAGATAGCCTTCAGTTGCCCTCTCTCCTGTGTGAACTGGTGACAAGTGTCTGCTGCTCTGTGCACAAACATAATGAGGCCTGAAACTTAAGGAGAAGATCTGATGGGCTCATCTGCTCTAACAGAGAGACCGGCAAGGTGTTAGCTTAACACCAAGGTTTAAAAATGTAATCCGTCGGTAATACTAGTTACATGTAGAAGAAATCAGTAACCTGTATGGGATTTTTGTATCCTGAATACGTAATCCTGTTACACGCAAACACACGGACCTATTTTTCTGGTCCAACAACTCTAGTAGCCCTAGACACTAAAACATGAAAGCAGACAGGTTGATGGATGAGCTGTGTTCACGTGTGTGTCTGTTTGGACGTCTGAGCTCCAGTGTGTGGTCTGCAGCTCTGCCAGAACTCGTAATTGATCTGCAGCGCTGCCCCGAGGAGCAGAGGGTCACGTAAGGTAAGAACACCATCTGAGAGGAGGACGCAGGACACACTACAGATGTGTGTGAGAGACTTTGGAGACAAAGCTTTAAGTAGTTTGAAAGTACCATCATTTACCAGCAAGTTTCTCCTTGTAGTGAAAGGCATTCTTGGGGGCGAGTGGATGTTTAATTGTTTGCTTGCTGTCATTTTATGTGTTTCACTTCGAATAGCCTTGTGATGAAATGTGTGTGCTTTATGAATAAGCTTTATTTGCCTTACCGAGTGACGGCCAAAGGAGGCTTTAAAAAAAGGTGAAACCCTTATAATAAGTATTGTGAATTGTGTAATTGTTTGAAGCCTCTATACTTTAAATAACAGCAGTCTAAAGACTAATAAGAGCCCAGGTTTTTAAAGATGATTAAGGTTGAATTAAAGTAGACGTTTCCCATCAATAATGTTGTTTCTTAAGGTTTAATTGATGGGTTGGTGTAAACAGGGTGAAGAACTATTGTTACCTTTGAGTATGAAAAGTGCTCTTTAAATAACGTTTGATGTCATCCAAAACTCTGCAGCTCGGTTGTTAACTAGAACTAAGAGGACAGAACACATTACTCCAGTTCTAGCCGCTCAGTATTGGCTTCCTGTTTACTTTAAGGTTCTCCTCCTGACATATAAGGCCCTTAATAGGCAAGGTCCAAGTTATATTATGAACTCCCTTGTAAGCTACAATGCCATTTTGTAGTTTGTTTTTAATGGTGAACTGGAAATGTCTATGTGAAGCACCTTGAAATGGGGCGAAGCCTGCGAGCTAGTTCAGGCAGTCAACTCCAGCACCAATCAGACATTAACACGTGACGCACCTCGTCCCTCTTACAACCAACCAAACACATTCTCCTAAACATGCCGCTCTATTTAAGCTGCCAGGTCTTCCTGCCTCTGCCTCGCTCATGCTGCTGCTGCTGTGTTCACTTGCTACTGCTACGTTCATGTTCCTGCTGCTGTGTTCCATGTTGCTGCTGCTGCTGTTTGCCCCACCACCATCACAGCTTCCATCCCAGCTTCCACCCCAGCTTCCACCCAACTTCCGCCCCAGCTTCCGCGCCAGCTTCCGCCCCAGCTTCCGCCTCAGCTTCCGCTCCAGCTTCCGCCCCAGCTTCCGCCCCAATTTCCGCCCCAGCTTCCGCCCCAGCTTCCGCCCCAGCTTCCACCCCAGCTTCCATCCCAGCTTCCACCCCAGCTCCACCCCACCACCACCCCAGCTTCCATCCCAGCTTCCATCACACCTTCCACCCCAGCTCCATCCCAGCTTCCATCCCAGCTTCCACCCCAGCTCCACCCCAGCTCCACCCCACCACCACCCCAGCTTCCATCCCAGCTTCCACCCCAGCTTCCACCCCAGCTTCCACCCCAGCTTCCACCTCAGCTTCCATCCCAGCTTCCACCCCAGCTTCCACCCCAGCTTCCACCCCAGCTTCCATCCCAGCTTCCACCCCAGCTTCCACCCCACCTTCCACCCAACTTCCGCCCCAGCTTCCGCCCCAGCTTCCACCCAGCTTCCACCTCAGCTTCCATCCCAGCTTCCACCCCAGCTTCCACCCCAGCTTCCACCCCAGCTTCCACCCCAGCTTCCACCCCAGCTTCCACCCCAGCTTCCACCCCAGCTTCCACCCCAGCTTCCATCCCAGCTTCCCCCCCACCATCCCAGCTCCACCCCAGCTTCCACCTGTAGGCTCGGGGGATAGTTATCTAATCATCACTCAATGTTCTTTGTAAATCTGTGGAGTGATGAGGCCCGAGCCTAGACGCCAAACTCAAACTATATGCTGCTTCTAATAAACATATTAAGGAAATTAAGAAACACGTGAGTTGTCTGACTGAACTGCACTTATTGTATGAAAGGTGCTATACAAACAGAGATTATTATTATTATTATAATTGAGGTAAACCTCCTCACCAGGTCTGTGGGCCTTGGGCACGGCCATGGTCATGACCCGACTGACGTCCTGAGGTTTGGGCGGCGAGGCGGTGAAGCGGCAGATGCCGGACTCGGACGGCGTGCTGGAGGCCACGCTGTCGGTGTAGTCGTTGGTCCCTGCTGTCATCTGCTCGGAGGAGGTGTCCGAGATGAAGCACTCGGTGATGGTGAACTTGGCGTGGCGGAGCTGCTCCTCCATCTTGGCGTGCTCGTAGGCTCTGGCAAGCTCCTCGTAGGTGGAGGACGCGCTCTCTGTGGAAACCATGCTGCTCCTCGCACGATCTGAGGGACACACACGGGACAGTACAGCTTAGAAAGAAAACATCTAAACTGATCCTTTTACAACAAACATTATATGCTCAATCGATCAATCACAGTTTATCTATACAGCCCACATTTGATATTTGTCTCAGGGGGCTTTACAGTTTGAAAATAATATGAATACGACACCTTCTGTCCTTAAACCCACATATCGGACAAGGAAACATGTCCAACAAAACCCCACAGTTAAAGGTAGGGCAGGTAAGAATGGAGAAACCAGCTCGAGTGCGCTAGAATTTGAAAGTACGCAGCCGGAAAAAACTTCCTTACAGAGCCCCTCCTCCAACACACACGAACGCGCACATGACCAATGAGGGCACGAGATAAGTTTGTGCACAGATGGAAGGCTGACAGGCAGGTAGGCCATCCAGTTATTTTAAAGCATTTACTATATTCATTGCTATCGGGATGTTAAGAGCATTCCATGGAATATAACAAAAAGTGTTTCTGAAGGGAATTACCTAGGAGGGATCCCTCTTCCAGGATGGACAATACATGTTGTGTGTAAATTAAAAAGACAATACATTTACAACATAGATAGTCCAAATGCTAAAAAAAAATCATTATGTGTCAATATATAAGGTGAAGATGAAAATGGATCCAGGTGGATGTCAACAATCCTCTTGGTGCTCTTTTTAGTTTGTTAGTCACATTGTAATCCTGCTACCAATCCTCAATGGTTAGGAATGTAACCTGATTACCTGTGTCCTGTGAGGGGCTGACGCTGTAGCTGTCGCTCTCCTTGTCCACGGACCCGGTGGCTCGGGGCGTCGGCAGCCTCCAGTCGGTGGTCAGCGTGTGGGAGGAGCTGGTGGGGTGCGGCCGGTTCAGCGTCCACTGGCTGGCGTATCGGCTCCGCGTCGCGGCAGGACCGGCTTTGGCAGTGCGTCTGGCAGTGGGGTCTGCAGAGGAGGGAACAGAGAGCATCATTAGGGGCAGAGATAATGACAGATACTCCATGTTTAAATATTATGATTATGAAGTACGACAATTACTTTTACACTTTTATAGGACTATCATTTGGAAAAAAGGTCCATTCGGATTAGTTTGACTGATAATGCATGGAATGTCAAATGTTTGCATCAATTATTATTTTTATTTGAATTCAGAATTTATTAAAAGATCATGGTGTGAATTTATTTAGCAAAGTTCTGTAATAAACTTTGACCAACTGGCCACTAACCAGACTTTCCTGTATCTCAACAATACGATTGTAGGATGGGCGACCTCTGCAACACCATAATACTTAATTCTGAAAGGTATTTTTTTATTTTATCTGATTATTTGACAGGGACAGTGCAGATTAATAGACATTTCTGTTATTGTGCCAGTTAGAAAATAGCTATTGTTCATCTGTTGTCCCTGGACAGATGTCGTCACCCTAAAAACAAATTCTATTTTTGAATAACAAGTTTATACAATCAGTAAAAACATGCAACATCACAATACAGGAAATGCTAATAACTAAAAAACATAAATATTTCATAGCAACCGGTTAAAGCGGTACAGACAGAAAGAGGACTGCAATATTTGTTTGAGAAATTATTCCTTAAAGAAATATTTCGCTTCTTGTAATTTCAATATTGTAGTCCGTTTTGCGATTTTAAATAAATCATTTGAACTACTCGTTTAATCAGGGACTCCAGCTTCTGATCTGTGAATACATTTGTTTTAGTGCTTGAATGAAACAGTAAATCCTTATTCTGTTCATACATCAGTGTTGACTGAGAGAGTGTAGCTGCTGTGCTGTGCTGTGGTACAGATTTACAGTTCATCCCTTCACTGAACAGGACCATCCCTCAGCTCCCTGCGGTGACATTACCGTCCATCTTAAGATCTCACTGTCTCCATATAGACATATAAATAGTATCATATTCAGCCTGACCCAGACAGGCGGCTGCTCTGTGCAGCGACGGGCCGAATAGATCCAGACCCTTTAGAAAAGGCTGGGACTGGATCTGTGCAGAGAAGAATGGTGCTGGTAACTGTAGCAGGTCACTTAGTAATCCTATCAGCATGATGGAGGGAGGAAGTGATGGCCATCAGCAGTTAGCACACTGGGTTCATACCCCACTGGCCAGGCTATACAAAACAATCACTATATTGTGTTGTAATGCATGTGTCTGTGATATTGTTCTGTGCATTGTATATGTGTTTGTATAATGTGTGTGTGTGTCTCAGAAGGATGGCATCGTATTGGAAAAAGGACATTTTTTAAATACAAAAACGCTGCAAATACATAGCGTTGCAAGCAGCTCAAAACACAACGGAAAACAGGGGACACTTCAAAGTGATGCACACAGCTGGGACTGGTGGCTTGTTGACACTCGGGCCACTTATCACTGTTGTTGGAAACTTACCTAAATTGTAAGTTTTATCAGAATATTTTAACAATTTGACCACATGATTCCTTATGATATTAGGTTAGCTAACCCTGAACGTCGCCAGGCGCACCGGTCCCAGCTATATGCATCACTTTCTTAGTGTCCCCTGGTTTCCGTTTCTTGCAGCGCTTTTAGTCAACGCTGCGGATGTTTCGTCAAGTTGGTGAAGATGGTTTTCTTCATTTGCATGTGTTTTGGCACATTTGTGTTTTTATATTTACATCGTTTTCTGAATCTGCAACATTCTGCTCCTAATGTAAGTGTTAGGACGTTTGCACCTGTCAGCCAACGTACTGATGACCTGATATGTTTGCTTACTGTTGGTGGTGACTGTTAAAAAACAGAGCTTGGCATGTCAATAAAAAAAGGCTTCTTTTCGGCTGATTGTTGAAGGGGTTTGCAACTTTACTTTAAAAGTAATGTTTAACATTCAGTAAGCAAAAGATAACCTGGTATTTGTCTCAGCCAATATGTAGGGGGAAATCTACTTTCTGCACTGTCTGCACAAAATAATTTCATTGCACTACTAATCTGTTTGTGTGTGTGTATCTCTCTCTCTGTGTGTGTATCTCTCTCTCCCTGTGTGTGTGTGTGTGTGTGTGTGTGTGTGTGTGTGTGTGTGTGTGTGTGTGTGTGTGTGTGTGTGTGTGGTTCTCTCGTTGTGTGTGTGTGTGTGTGTGTGTGTGTGTGTGTGTGTGTGTGTGTGTGTGTGTGTGTGTGTGTGTGTGTGTGTGTGTGTGTGTGTATCTCTCTCTGTGTGTGTGTGTGTGTGCGCGTGCGTGCGTGCGTGCGTGCGTGCGTGCGTGCGTGCGTGCGTGCATGTGTGTGTGCTCTCAGGTCCAGCTGGCCAGGTGGAGCAGGGCAGTCAGGTGAGGACGTGTCAAGAAGAGGCAGAGCC